CCATGAATAAAACACAGGTGATGTAATTTTAAATTTGTACAGCGTTAAACCTCGTAAGTAACCAATGTGTCTGTTGCTGGATGAGAACTCTAGGGCGGTTCTATATAAACCCTTACATTCTACCTACGTGCGTCCGCCAAACTGGGCTCAAGAGGCGTTATCAGTGATAACAGACGAGTGGCCGGATACACGTTATGACCGGAAGTGGCAAGAGCCGTCTGATTGGCATCATTGGCTCATTGGCTGATAAGCTGGGACCCTCTGACAGGTCTGAGCTAAGCTTTGATTTGTCCGACATTGAGTCGTCTGCTTTGATGTGCCACCGACGCCGACAATGATGACGAGAGTGCATTGGTAATAATAATAGTTATTTGATTGGTCAAATGGTTTAAAACATTACATGATGTATTATGTGACTTAAATTATGCTGTGTAGCCAAGTGAACGATTTTCAGGCAAAATTTTACCAGAGCACCATTACCATTATCATCACACATTGTTGTCATTTTATCTTGGGTTGTCTTTTTTTGTTTTGTCAAGGACAAATGTGCCAAACAAATGCACTGATCTAAAAACAAACATTTATTAATTTAATCTTTTCAGGACGGCAATGTTGAAAAATTATCCCCACCGCAGCAAACCTGCAGACTAAGCGAATTTCAATTTACCTGGCTAGATTTCTACTAAAATATTCCCTTGAGCTTAGCTTCGCTCCGCTCAAAAAACTACTAAGATTATCAGATTTATTTCCTATTTAAATAAACTTAATTTTAGTGAAAACAGTACTTAGGTTTGCTGCTACAGGGGAAGATATTGAGGTGTGTTTTTTAATTGAAATGTTGATGGCTTATTGTCAAATTTGATAAAAATATAAACAAACAAATTACAACAGTTTATTTATTCTCCGTAAGAATAGCCTACCATGGAAATTAAATTTACAATTTTTGTGAATACAACAGCGCTTCAATATACAACATTATTTTTTTTACGCTCTACAAATTAGTTTGGAAAGAAATTATGAAATTTTGTGTTTTTAGGGTTAAAAATGAGAAAAATCTTTTTTTATCTCATAAAACCCCCTATAAACCCCCGTTCCCATGGTTGATTTGTCCCTCAGCATGTCGATGATCACGTTGAATGGAGGGGTGGCACTTTGGTCTTTGGTAATCGCATCAATTAAAAATGCAAGTCAGTTTTAATTTGGCAAGTCAGTTTTAATTTGTAGGATTCAAATCAGGTTCTATTTGCTGTTAGGATTTTAATTAACTGAAACAGTCGAATGGAGGCTAACCTAAGGTCAGGGTTTGCGACTATTTCTTCTGTAACATTGGTGAATACTGAATATATGAGCTTTTCGGTAATTACTAATTAAAGCAAAATTCTTGATAGTTTATTATGTGTCCTGAGAAAATAATAAACTGATCAGACACTTTTCCAATCTTGGTATAGTACTAAATTTCACAGAAAAAATAATAGCAATGATAAAAACGCCCTGGTTAGACCCCAGTGCGATGAGAGTAATAGTAAATTCCTTCGACTGATGAATGCAACAACCAGTGTTTTCGAGAGTAGCCTGAGGTCTGTGGCAGTTTGCAGGCGCAGCTATCGAATCAGTTCACTGCACAGTAACTCAACAAGTTACAACGGTTACAACGAATTCTCATAACAAATTTACAATTACTAAATAAATTTAAAACAAGCAACAAACACACAATGACGTTTAATTAAAAGTTTTTTCTCATTGAAAAATTTAATACCCCAGCCGTTTTGAGGGGGGGAAAAAATTAAAAAAAAACTATTTTTACCCAAAAACCCTCCATGAACACGTTTTACATGGTCATATCATGCTGGTTTGTGAACTCATTCAATTGTATCCCAGCATACACCTTGAAGTAAAATTTCATCAAAATCGGACAAAAATTACTCAAGTTGTTCACGTACACAGACATTCGGGAATTCGCTAAAAGGTGACTTCTTGAAGGAAGGACCAAAGAGGGAGCATGAAACTCATCTGCTTACCCTAGTGAGGTAAATTTATATTTTTAATACAAAGTTGATTGGAATTTAGAGAGAAACAGATAAGCTTGACTGATCCTGATTTCGCCAAGTATTTTCCATAAGAAAAAAACTAAATTATGTCTAATTTATGGCTGAAGGTTAAAATTGTTTTTTGTTAAACGTAAACGTCTGCGATTTGAACCCTTGGACCTTACAACTTAAATTAGGTGTTTAGATCTCTCTAATTATCAATTATTTCTTAGGATTGATCTAGTCAGAAATTATAATTATTGGATTTCATGCCCATCTTGCTTCTTGCAAACGCTACAGAGTGTGAACACCTTGCGGACAAGTATAAGTATACATCGATTGTACTGCTAAAGGGTGAAGTCATTGAAATGTCAACGTACAGTTTAGACTGTAGTCTAGACGTTAGGTCATTTGGCCGACAGTCAATGTGCCGTAGTCTGGCTCTGTGGCGAAACAGTCGAGTGACACATGACAAGCCCGCGCCATTCGTAGCATTGCCTGGACAGTGGAGACTCACCTGTCCGACAACACTTTTACTGTTGTAAAGGCAAAGGTCAACATGTACATGTACACTTTTCCACAGGGATACATTGATTTGTAACAACATTTTGAAAATTTTTAACTACCAGCTGCATCACAGATGGATAGCGTAGCTGCGCCAGGGCTGCACACGCTGGGATAGTCAGCCAGCTCGGTTTTATCACAGACAAGGGAATTAGTCAATGGTATTATGTTATAGAGATAGACGAATATGAAGAGTTTTACATGGAACTACGGTACAAAGGCTAATCTTGGACCATCCTCCGTAATTTTGTTGTTATGACCAAATCCATTTCAAAATAGTAAGTCATCTATTTTGTCAAGGATCTTGTTGTACATAAGGATTTATGGAGTCAATGTTAACTTTTTTTTAAGTCCAAGTCATTGATATTTTGCAATGACAAGTACATTGAAAGTACAAGTGGGAAGTATATATTTGTATTTTTCTCTTGATAAAAGCCATTCCTCCCAAAATAATGAATAAGAACTACCCGTAAGGATAACTTTCTGAATCGTTTCATTCGGTCAACATTGGGCTGTTAGACCAAATCAAAAAATTTAAAATGTGTGTAAAATGTAAGGTAAAATGTTTATTTCTCAACATTTTGATGATATTCCAATTTGTTTATATGGAGTTTCTTTTATTTTTCGGATGGAATTCAATGAATATTGGTTGATGCAAAGATACAATGAGTACTCTTTCGAAAATTAGATCCACATGGGTTTCTCTGGACTATGCAGTTTTTGTACGATGGCCGATTTAGTTATACACAGGAACTGATTTGAAGTATCCAGATTGAATTCTATTTTGCTACAGATTTACCACTTGAACTAATTATGTTTAAATAATTATAAATCACATACCCATTAGAGCCTAAGTTCTGTAGGGTATTTTCAGTTCTAATAGCGTAACTTTACTAACAGAGTTTGAAAGTGAAAGTCAAGCCAAAGTAATGTATAACAACATAGTTGCCGAGGTAGAGTTCTTCTCCAGCTAACTACAAAGTGTTTTACAGAGATGCGGTGTTGGTGTTGGAGGAAATACGAGGGTTTGATTATGTGAGAGTAACTTTACTTGCGATTTGCGAATTCCTCAGGTTGTCATGACTCTTGAACTATTTACCCTATCTCAGTCATAGTAGAATTAAGGAGTGGTGTATTTCTGTTCAATTACTACATTTTAGCGGTAAACACCACTGAAGCCAAACAAAATTACAAACTCACTTTCACGGTTATTTACCAAAACTGAGCATACTATGAACACTCCTTAACCTAGTTAACCAAAGTTTTCATCCAACAAAGATACAACAGAGAGGTTGTTTTGTGTGTTGTCGGTTTTTAGAATATTATTAGCACAGGTGCAGCAACCTTTGTAAAAAAGATCATTAAAAAAGATCACCATGTCCGCTCGACCATTAAGATTTAAAGATTGAGTATATCATTATACGGAAACAAAAAAAAATATAAATGATTAATTTTAGTTGGTGGTAAACAACAACCCTAGGGAGCTAGGCTAGTATAAACTCATAGTAAGATAGTATCGTTGGCTAGTAGGCCTGATAAATTTCCAAGTGTAGATGGTTGTAAGAGTTCCTAATTCAGTTCCGATAAGTTATTGTAGCTGGTTCTGTATGTGTTATCTATATGACCTTCACCTTTGACTAGGGTCAAATATTAGTCTACTCAACTTAGTGTAAGTTAATGCCGTCAAAACTCGGCACTGTTGATTATTTTGAAAGTACACAGTCTTAACACGTTTATTTAAACTCGTAGCATGTTCAGTGAGAATGCCACCATCGTTTATGCTGTCAATTTTTAAATAATTATTTGTTGGATATCAGAGGTCAATAACTATGTTATCTGCTGTGCTTGCATAATCATTGCAATCAGCTGAGTGTAACAAATTAAATAGTTTAGGCACTTTCCCTTTGGATATTGATTTTTTATGTTTGTTATTTATGTAGATGCATTTTAGTGGTTTTATCTATTGCTATTATGTAAAAAAAAAAACTTTTAAATGTTTATTTATAAGCTTAGATATTATGTAAATTTTTAGATGCAATGTTTTTATAAAACGTTATAAAACAAGGTTTTTGAATGACTTGAGACACAAAGAGCATCAACACGACAAAAGTCCGTGAGTCCTGTAAACATTTATCACGGACATTAGGATACTTTTGTCATGAATGTGAATTTGAGAAAACGAGTTTTTGTTTATTACCGGTACATGCACTCTCTACCCTCTCACTCGATTAAAAAAAACTGATACTCCGTTGAATAAACAAGACATGCAAGTTACAATGCAGTATATCATCATAACTCATCCATTATTCATTACATGCATGTAGAATCCATATACATATACGAGTGTAGATTTAACATTCTCAATTACAGTATCAAGTGATTGGTCAACAAACCATTGGTTATACTCACCGGCTCCTATTATATTTATTTCCTATTCCAGTCACGACACTTCAGTCTGCTACGATGCAACTACAATGTTGTTTATACCTCCTACAAGTCAGCTATAGCGTTGAGATCACAACACTTCAACTTCACTTTCACTCAGAGTTACACTGGCGCGGGCGAGTGATCGACTAGCAGACGCCAGATGCCGAACATACACTGAGCGGTCAATGGTGTTAACATATGATATGAACCAGCTGATCGTGCAATTCAAGGTCAGCGCATGCTCACCCCTCAGTCAGGGGTGCCAACTGCCGACTGATGAAGGGTGCGACTTCTCCCTCCTCGCACTCAACACAGATGTGAATATTTTAGGGACGAAAGGTTTGTTACATAGTTTGGCATTGATTTTTCTCAATGTAAACAGGTTAATTCTATTATTTTGTTCTGTAATTTTAAATATTCCAAGGTCTATTAATTATTCTATTTCACTAATCGTTATATTACAACTGATACTTTTTCTAATTTCTCGTCTTTTATCAACTGTTCCTGTCTTTTTCAGATTTAATTTTGTCAATGATAGGTAATGATAGACACAGTGTTGGTGATTAGTGAGCAACAAGTATTGGAAAGGAACCAAAATAACACAAAAACGCGAAGTTACTAAGTAAAATCAAACTAATTTAATATTTAAAGCTAAAAATTAAAAACCAACTATTTGGCAAGTCTGTTGACTGTAGGCTAGGGAGGAGGGACGTTGTCGTTGTCCCGGGTTGGCAGATCGATAGATTCAGACGTTGGCGGCGTCATAACAACCCTGCATTGCACGTGCCGTGTAGTACAGGGCTAGGGGCTACCTTCACCCCATTATTCCCCGGAGTTTACCTGAGGGGGTGTAGGTTTGTGTTTATGTTGAATTTAGTTGACATAATTTTTTCCAATGTTTACCCAAATCCTGGTGGGTTTAAATAATGCTTTAAAGACTCGTAACCTGCTTACTATACCTAAATTCTGCCTTAGATTTCTATATATGACGAATAAATTGTTCCCAATTTGACAACAGTAAAAAAGTTGATCTTTGTGATACGTCAGAAAATACTTACAAGTTCCAATAAACGAAAAAGAACAACCAGAAGTAAAATATCAGGTCAAAGTTTTATGTCTGAATATATAGTATTTATTTTTTAATTTTATTTGTTTATGAAGTTTTTATATGGCCTATCATAGAGTAAATTATAGTACGTTAAGTAAAATCATAAATAAACACCCTCATATATTTAATGATAGCAGTAACTGCCCACACTTTACAAAAACAAACTACTATAAAATATACTATACTAACTATATACCATAAAACGATGACAAATAATGACATAAAAGAATTATGTGGGTCTGGGGAGGCACTCACATGGCCTTATTGGTCTTTGGAGTGTCGCTCTGAAGAAACTCATTCAGTAAATCTTCCTTTCCTTTCAATGCTTTAGATAATACTCCAAAGCAAAATATACTATATAGTATGAACTATTATAAATTATCAATTTGCCTTTTAGCTATAAGATTTCTTATTTATATAAGTTAAAGTTGATTCCTGTGGTATAATATTGAAACAAATTGTCTAATAATACAAGATACAAATCTCTTGCAAGGCGTATTATTTATGATTGTAAATAACCACCTAGAAGATCGTAAATAAGAGCTGTGATAAACTAAAATAAAATAAATATAATTTATGCCTACAACACAAATAATAAAATACCCCCGCCGCAGCAAACCTGCCGACTAAGCGAATTTCCATTTGTCTGAATTGATTTTCAGTTAGGCCTAAATATATTTTAATAACATTAGGTTTAACGAGTACCTAGGTTTGCTGCTACAAGGAAACTAATAAAGTGTGTTTTTGAGTAAAATATTGATAGCTTAGTACAAAATAAATAAATTTGCCAAATTTGATCAAAATATATCCATAAACAAGCAAACTACAACATATGACAGTATTCTCCATAAGAATAACATGGGAATTTTAAATTTACAATTTTTTTTAATTTTCTCGGTTACTAATAATCGAACAAAAATACTTTTATATACTAAATTATTTGTTTTTTTAAGCTCTTTAAAAAGGTTTAAAGAGAAATTGGGAAATTTTGTGTTTTGAGGGTCAAAAGTGAGAAAAACCAATTTTTACCCCATAAAACCCCCCGTAAAGCCCCGTTCCCATGGTCCGATCGTGCTGGTTCGCGAACTCATTCAAGTTTATCCCGCTTTACACCTTTAAACCAAATTTCATCAAAATCGGACAAAAATTACTCAAGTTATCGCGTTCACGGACGTATATATATATAAGTCTATATATATATACATATATAAAAATTTGAACGAATGGTGTTTTTGGCCTCTGGGGACATCAAAATGAAAAAGTAAATCGGTCCCGGGTCTAGGTCTTACCGTGCCACCTACGGTAATAGCTACTTCCCTATAGGGAAATTCGCTAATTATAAGTAAATACCCTAACCCTAAATTTAATGTTGTGTAGAAGAAAGGGCAAGGTCCAGCAGCAAAAAACTAAACCCCGGGACTGGAACATCCTTACTGTTGGAGTAGAAACGTAACTACCTGTGACTCGGGAGAATCAATCTCTAAAAATAATATCCAAACCCTTCAAATCCACGAATATCTTGGGATTGCAAAATAAGTCATCAACAAGTACCCTCACGGTCAGATTAAGTGACGAAACAATGTAGACAACAATAGACCAAATTAACTTTGTCAACTGAGCACCTGTATGAAATGGTATTCATCTTGAACATGTTTTTAAATATTTATTTTTTTAATTTTTTTTTTATTTTGTTTTATTGTTGGTATTTATAATTGTTAAGCTCAGTAATCAAATAAAAAATGTTTTACTGGTTTAAGTGTAATTTTAATTATTTTTCGAATTGACTTTTTTTTTAAACGAAAACGCAAAAAACTACTTTATGCTTACTTTAATTGGACAATTACAATTTATATTTATAATTTACTAGCAGTTACCCGGCACGCGTTGCTGCGCTTAACAACTAATATTTTAAATGGTAATTTGTTCTTTACGATGAATAATAAAAGTGTATACCAAAAATAAAAATAGAATATTTTACTTTATTGCCAGTGCATAACAATGTTTTTTGTGTTTTCATTAGGTGAATAAATATATATATACTAGCTGTTTGCCCGTTCTACGTACGGGAATCTTGTAGTAAGTTTATATTCCTTATATTCAGAACAGGAGTTGGTTTGCATGTTTAGTGTGCATTTTTCCAGATATGATGGCAAAACTATAACTGTTTATGAATACATATAAACCTTCTCAAATACAATATCTGACAGTTTCAAAGCCAAAACGAATGCTTCGCATTTAAATGTCACCCGATCGTGTTAGTCCATATTTTATATCTAACGATTACTTTTCACACTGGTTAAAAGTAGTTAAAACACTACCTACCTCAACCTCACTACTGCGCACTTTATTCGGGTTGAAGTTTTTATTAACAATAGTGCTCTTGTCTTTTCCACGAAAAATAAGGACATTAATGCATTACCAATAGTCATACACATACAAATGCAGAATTGAGTCCACACAACATTTTGGAGTCCAGACAGAAAACGCTAAAAATTATACAGTAAGACATCAATTAAATTTAATAAGCAATAAGGTGCAGTGTTTATAAATAAATAGTGAAAATAGTGATGTGTTTGTATGTAAAAAATATTCTTTCCGGTACTGCTACCACCGGTTCTAAGGAAAAGTAGCAGTACCGGTACCAAAAACCAACGTTTACATTTGAGAAAAGAACTGTAGTACTTACGACTAATTCAAACTGTCCTTCTAATCAAACTGTATTATAGGTGTTAATCAGTTGGCAATTATATAAATAAATAAATACACACAGGCCACAAAACATGTAACATGTAACGTAAACAACGTAAAGCTTTGAAAACTCACTATGGTTTGCTAAAAAAACTTTCTCTTGATTTGGTGCAGTACCGGTACCGGAAGTTATTAATCTCCTTTGGATTAATTTTTTTTTAGTTTTCGAAAATCAAAGTTATTTCCTATTAATAGCATTATTTGTAAGCAGCTTTTAATGTTAACATATTAATGACAGTTTGAAGAAACCACCTTTATTCAAACAAAGGTTTCTTAAGATTACGTTGTCTCTAAACGATAATCGGTACATATATCTAGCAAACATTCGGAGGAAATGTGACAAAAACGCACAAATCTGGGGTTTTGTACGTTTGTAGTTTTATTTCCTAAGTAGGAAAAGTACCGATATCGTTGTCGAAATGTAAGTACCGTAAGTAGGAACCAAAGTGACACATTGGAAAAGCGAGTTTAGCTACATCTGTTAAGTTAAACCTCTGTTACAGTACGATCACAGCGAAATCAGAAAGATCTTCCAAGATCGCAGCAACATCCACGATCACCCACTGCAGTCGTGATTTTTTACTTTGCACTTTACACAACTGTCCTTGAAGCGCCGTCAATGAGTGGAAACCTTTGTAAGCTACGGTATTGGTGACGATGGTTAAAAAAATGTAAGTTTCCTTGCACTAATACAACACTGATTCACGATATTTTCCCCGGTTATCAAAATTCAAGAACAATCGTTGCACTTGCGATTAATTAAACCGGTTAAGTAAGGCACATCGTTTTTAATCTCACTTGGTTTGGATGTGCTGACAAAACTTGATCGGAAATGGTTGCGGTATTTGTAAACAACTTTTAATGTAAACATATCGGTGACAGCTAGAAGTGAGAACTAATCCAAACAGCTGATCGTTATTTCATAAAATGTAATGTAATATTAAACATTGGGAGAAAATTTGACAAAAATCGAACAAAACTGGGTTTTTGGTGGTTCGTTATTTTGTTTTCGAAGAAGCGAGGCCATGTTTTTATAGCCAAAGACACTCTCACCAATTCAGTAAATACAGAAAAATAATTACAACCTTGATCGGTACTCTAATTTTCTAGGAGTAGGCCGCGTAAAATGACATTTTGGCGTTACAGACGGAGTCACAGAATGGACAGACAGACATACAGACAGAAATTGAGATAAGACTCGTTTCGGCTTTCTTAGGCTATGAAACGTAAAAATAACCAAAAACCGCATGATTCTAAGCAATGTACAGACAAAACTGTAATTTTATTTATATAGATTTATAAATATATAAAACTTATATATAAGATTTTAGGCATACCTACCACCACGTGAGCACGCAACATACAGCTGTCCGTGTGAAAATCATGCATTTTATAAATTTAAACCGACGAT